GACAAACACTATTTCTGCATTACTCATCTTAAAAATCTCAGTTTAAATAAACTGCATATCATAATCCCTCTGTTGCAGTGACTAATTTTTGCAATGCACAGAACAGTTATTTTACACTATCAAAAAAGAAAGAATAAAATAAAAAAAAAACAGATTGAATCATTTAGAATGTTTTTTCAAAGGAACCAACCTATTAAATCCCAGTAATGTTTGACACCTTAAACTGAAAGATGAAATAAATCCCATCATGACTTTTTCAGTAGTAGTTTGAATAGAAAAATTTGTTTTGCAAAACTTATCTATCTTCTGGATAATTTTTTTTCTCATCTCGAGATTTACTCCTATCTGTCTGGAGAAAATAATTTCATTAAATTGCAAGTACAAGTTCCCAGTTTCATCAATCTGAGCACTTCATTACTAATGAGCCTTATTTGTGGTCAGGGATTTCCAATAATCACTCTGCTATTCCCTCTTGGGCTTGAGCCAGTCAGCCACATCATAAATGGGGCTGTACAGCTCATATAAAGGACCTCAACAAGTATTTCCCACCACAGCACTAATTAGAAATTTACAGGAACTTTTTTTTCTTTCACCCATCTCCAAGTCCCATCCCTCCCACGATCGGGTGCGTCTCAGTTTCTCACCCACTCAAGCTGATTCCTGCTAGATAAATTAAGTCTTTTCTCCGTTCTTTTTGGTTTTCAACTCGTCTTTCATTGACACCCCATTCGGAAAAAAATAGGCTTGTAACAAAGATAAAAAATAAAAGTTAACAACTAAAATTATCCTTAAAAGAAATTGATTAACATCAATGTACCAGCTCCTCCTGGGGCAATTTTTCACTTTGTAATGAGTGCAACTATTTCCGATAAGAGGGTTGTTCCACCCCCATTCATTAGTTTCTAATGAATCCTGCATGTGCGTTCACATTGAAGGTGATGCACAGAAGAACTGAATGCCTGTTGTGAGCTGTCAAAGGTTGAGGCTGACCTTCAGATCGCCGTGCTCTCTGATCCATTTCAACGATCAGAGGGAGGGGGTTTCATTTGTGCTCTCCAATTCTCATGACATTGCCGATATTATAAGTGATTGGCTGTTCCTGAATTAAATTGGATTTTTTTTTTAAAGGGGTTGTCATGTTGAGCAAGACTAAGGCTTAAAATATAACATTTCAGTGAAATATTAAAACACTATCATCAGAAAAAATACTTGCTAAGATAAAATGCTCATCTTTTCTCAGAAAATGAATTGTTAAAATGACAATAAAACTATGATATTGTCATGTTAGAAAATCCAAAAATATCAGGAATTTGTGCCTTTTTCTTTTTGCTTTTTTATTTAACCTTTATTTAACCAAGAAAAAAATCCAATTGAGATTTAAAAACCTCTTTTTCAAGGGAATCCTGGCCAATAGACAGCAAAGTTACATAAAATACATTAAACATAGATACATTAAAATAAATGACAGGTACATAAAAAAAACATATCAATTAGAGTAATCTCAATTACAGATCATTGAGGCTGCTTTAAATTCCAGTTACAAAAATACAGAAATACAGTTTGTGATAAACTTTAATGAAGAATGGTAAACAGAGTCCAATATTTGAAGACATTAAGGAAAAGGAAGAAGTGAATATATTTTAAATCTAATGTGAATCAAAGACATAGTTTCTTTAAAAATCTGATGGTTTATCATATATCATGAGCATTCTATTGATGTCAAGTTTGGATGTCACAGGGTTAAGTACTCAAACTGCTTGCCAAGGAGAAGAGCATACTTTGCAATTAAGTGGCAAGAAGAAAAGCTTAGGCTGCACACTGACCTAATGTGGTTTGAACAAAACAGCTGTCACACATTTACTCTCAGACTAGACTGATATCTGAAAAATTTGGTACATTTTCCATTATGAGTCATATTTCTAATGAAATAGAGATATATAGTAATGAAGCCTTATAAGTATCCTTTGTTTTAAGAAAAAGAGGAAGTCAAATGCTTTTTTTTAAATGTTTTTTTTACTGAATTAAATATTTGCATCCTGATTTTTAAACATGTTCATTGATTCTTCTCTCTCTCCTGGTTTGTTCCAAACTGATGTTGTCAGACTAGCAGTTTGTTTAAATGTGGTTTATTTCACTGAATGCTCAGCCTGCCTCAGATCGCTGTCATCAGCACAAGCCTTGGTACTACATCAGTGCTGTAATCGATCTGACACCGTGTCCTCTCTCAGAATTCTGCCGCCTCCTACTTTCCCCACCACTTTTAATTTTCCATGTGTGTTTTGCAACCATCTCGTAGTGAGAAACAGATTGGAGTGAGGCAGGCTGTGGTTCTAATTTTTATGTTAATTGTATGTAACACAATTAGGGTTTTCTCTAATGATTTAAGCAGAAAATTGCTGAGGAAACAATATGTATTTAACCCCAATCTGAACAGATTTAAAATGAATTACTTTTGGTTTTGTAATCTCACAAAACCCTTCGGTCATCCTGATTAATATAATGTATGAAAGCTTTACTTTCTATTGAATTTGTGATAGCCTACATTTTATATTAAAGCCACAGGCAGATTGAGCTGCCATCTTAGCAGTGACTTTGCTAAAATGCCAACCATCAAATACATGGCGAAAGGACCTGCTAATAAAAACAGACGCCTCAACTGCAATAATAATTAGGTGAGTCAACATTTTGGATTGTTAAATACAATCTAACAGTCAGAAGAAATGGTCTACAAAGACAAAACTAACATAGAAATAAAAGATTGAAGAAATCCCTCAAAAACAATACAGTGCCTGAACCCATCAGTAGCTTTAGTTTTAATGTCCATTTATCAATATGGAAAAGTAAAGAATTAGAATCATTAGTCAAAGTAATTATTTTTCTTTTTAGCTCTCCTTTTGTGTGAATTTTATGTCACACTTATTTTCATCCAGTGCTGAAAATGTTTTTTCACCATCTTTGTTTCAGCCGAGTCTTTTAATCATGCAGCATGACACAGATGTGGGCTTTGCACAAAGTACATTTTCTGTGGTCAATAATTATATGACGGAATGTAAGCAATAATCAACTCTAACAGCAAAACAAAAACAAAGCAGCCCTCCAATATCAGTACTATTGTTGTGTCAGTAGCTTCTTTGTTAACCCTTTATTGGACAACTATTCCAGAAACACATCCTTCCAAAGTCACCCGCTGCCCCCTCAATCCTTTCATTAAATCCATGCACAAACACAGCTCGCACAATCAAATCACATGGCTTTATCTGCTCCCACAGCCCCACTGCTCATAAAAAATTACATACTCCAAGGCATAACATGCTATAACTCGTGTAAAGATTGAAACTAAACGGGGCTCCCAGCCCTGCCTTATTTTTACTTACTTTTTGTTTCATTTTATACTCCATACAAGATTATTCATCCCAAAGGAGCAGAAGAATCTAGGGATGTGACTTTAAGATATGCACACTTTGTTGTTCTGTTTGTAAACCAGACAACCTGCTCATATCATTTGATTTGTGTTGCATTCATAAGGAGTGTTGATTATAGATCTATTGCAATGCAGGCGCTCCATTTCCCCCAGAACATTTTCTAGTTTCAGCAAACAACCTTATTGGAACATTGACAATGTTTGCAAAATGTTCTGCATATTTGTATTTAGACCCCCAGAGTCAATACTTTTTAGGAAAATACTTTGATAAAAACAAAAGCATTTTATGTTTTTAAATCACAGTAAAGGAGAAGAACACATAGGATCATAATATTAGTCTGACATTTGTCAATAAAAAAATATAAAACAATGAAAGATCTTTCTGCATTTTATGCTACTTTTTGTTTTTCTGTTATATAAACTCCCTATTAATATCATGACTCACAACAGAGGGACCCAGTATTCAGGCCAGACAGACAGTGGGATAACTTCAAAAAAGCATTAATTCAAAATAACAGGAAATATCATATCAGCTGCTGCAGCAGCTAGGTGTACGAAGCAGGAACGTCTATGGAAGAGAAACACAGGTTAGCAACTGCGATAATCAGCCGGAGGATGATTATGAACACGCTAGTCACTAACCTGGTTTGTCAGTTCAGTCCGGTAGCCAAAGACTGAGGATGAGGGATGAGGGAGATCCAGATACGGAAGGCTACAAGAGCTGACAGGAGATCTGATCAGGGCTGACCAAGGCAGAAAGAATAATCTAAAGGGTGAAGTCAAGGGACAGGTCTAGGTTAAATACACAAAAAAGTCAGACAGGGGACTGAAGACAGGCAGGCAACTAATTAGACAGGGTCAGGCAGGCTCAAAAGTCCAAAGGCAGAAACATATCAGGATCAGACAATCATAACACTAAAGTACGCTAGAAAAGCTATCTAGGTAGCTTAAATAGGAAACGGGAACAGTTGGATCTGATGAGGAACAAGGCAGAGCTAGACAGGGGAAGGAAGTGAGCAATCAAACCAGCCTCCTTAGACTGGTCTATGAACTTATGCGGCATCCCATTCTTAATCCATAGGGTTCAGTGTGACATTGGTCCACCCTTTACAGTTAAAACAACTTTAAGTGTTCTTGGAAGGCTTCCACAATTCTTACAAGCTTGTTTATGGGAATGTTTGACCATTTTACCAAAAGCAGGGACCAAAATATTAGTTATTGTGTTTAAATTTCATAGTATGAATAAATTAATTTGCTATTTATCAGTGTTTCACCTTATAGTTGACCTATAAACTGTGTGTTGCCACGAATCTGCATTCTATTTTTTAGAGAAACTGTTAATGTCAATTTTTTCACCATAAATTAATAGCGAAGAATGATTGCTTTGCAAAAATATATTTTTATGTCAATCATCATTGCAATAAATACCAGAAAATATTCATTTATAGGCGCTTTCTTATAAAAGTACAATGTACTGAATATGGACTATTTTTGTGACTTTGGGAAAAAGATAATGATCATCAAAAATAATAGCTTTCTTACTCTGTCTTTCTCTGTGTTTTTTTTCTTTCAGATTCAACAAACTTCATCTCGTTTTAAAATCAATAAACAGTAACATAAGTAACTCAGTGTAAATGCAAGTTTGAAGTTGACCTGGAAGCAAGAGGATAAATTAGCTTAAGGATTTAATTCATACAGACCTTGAAAGCGATTAGCAGATATTGAGGTAACTTCTAAAACTCGATAAATGGCCTAAAGTACTGAGTGTGCTTGATGCAACAGTCAAAGATGAGCATTCCAACTAATTTTCAAGGGCTGAGAGTCAGTGTCGAAAGAGGAGAAAAGGTTGGAAACAAAACCAATTTCCACTCGTCCGGAGATGATAACGCCAATCAAATAACCTCAGTCTCTGACATAGAAGAAGCGGGTCTGATTCAGGTCACAAGGTACAACACAGGCTCTATTCCTCCATTGGTGTGTCAGAGTGAATCTCCAGACAAAATTGTGATCTGGGGTTCAGAGCAGCAATGTGTGGTGCCTGAGCTCAGAGAGTTCGAGATCCACACATTCTTGGGAAGTCAGGAGGAGAATAATGAAGAGGAAGATGACGGAGAGAGCATGAGAGATGGAAAGGATGAGGGTCCAATGTCCATATCCTCAAGTTCAACAGCCAGTTCAGCTTCCACTGGTGTAAAGAGAAATGAAGACCAAAGCAGGGAAGAGAGCAGTAAGAGGAAGGAGAAACGCATTGCCTGTCACAGTGTTGAGGAGCTTGACACATATTTGTCAGGTTCAGAAGAGAAAAATGACACTAGATCAGGCAGGGCGAGACTGACGGGGTGTCTGAAGGAGTCGAAGTCTGAGACAAATGTGTTTGTCTCCAGTCTGTCAACTGTTGCTCTTAGTGGAAGTCTGTCATCTGCTCTGGATTCCAGTGGTGAAACATGTCTTATATCTCTATCTAGCCCCACAACCAACCCTTTTCCTAACACCAACAATCCTACCTCAGCCCAGTCCAGCAAAAGGGAAGCTTCCTTAGACACCAATCAGAACTCCCCACCACTCCATCCTCAAGAATATGACTGTCCACAATACTATGGTCAGGAGCAGAGACAGGAGGAAAGGGGTCATCATAGAAATGGAGTTTCCTATGAAGGAGGCCTTGGCCAAAGGAGAAGAGCTGGATTTGAAGAGAGGGTGCTGCCACCTCGACGTCAGCAGCTCGTCAGACCCCTCTGCCAGACAGAGATGATCAGAGAAAGAAGCTTGCCAGAACCAAAAACTCAGCAAACTAAAACAGTACTGCCTTCCTCTATTGATGCATCTCCAGAGTCACACAGCAGTAGGTCAAACAAAAAGTTTACAAAATCTGCTTTAAGGGAACCATCAGATCTTTCCCACCTTTACAACTTGAGTAGTGTTTCTCATCTTAGGCAGCCCAACCAAGCATTCCAGAGGGAGACACCACCCATGGAAAAACAGCCAACTACACAACATTTGTCTGGTCCCTCTAACACACCCATAATAGACAAGAAACCCCAGGCTCAGCTCACTTATAGAAGGAATAGCTCTAGTCCCAGCAAGACTGGGATTGAATCAAGGTCATCAACCCCTCCTCAATCCCCCCTCAGGACACCACAGGGCTCACCATGTCAGCAGCCCTCAATGTACCTCATTTCCAGGAATGTCTTTGGAGCTTCTAGGCACGTCCCATCAGGATGCAACCCAGCTGTACCAACCTCAGCTCAGGGCTATCGCAACAGTTGCTTAAGAGCTCCGGTGAAAACTAATATAAGCACAAGTGGAATCCCAAAAGCGCCTCTTTGCATCCAACAGAGCTCCACAAACTGTAACCCAAAAGAGAACTCCCCATCACCTAAACTTAAACCTAAAGGAGTCCGTCCCAAAATAATAACTTCTGTTCGAAAGAATCCTCAATTGAAGCTCCAGGCTGCTGATGGACCTTATCAGGTCTCCTCTCTGCCATCCAGGCTCTCAACCTACACCCACAGCCAACCAACAGTGGCCTTAAAAGATCCATCTAAAGACCCCTCCAAGCCTGAGACAGAAACCCAAGGAGCCAGAGTACTTAGTGCCTCCAATCCTCTATATGATAAATACCGCCAAGGGATGCAGGTGAACAGTTTCCAACCAGGGATGCAAAACAGGAGCCTCAGGGCTCCTGGGCACACAAACACAGTTCCTCCTGCACATGCACACAGCCACAATATATCCCCGAAACTGAGTGGCCGGGCAGAAAACTACTATGGAACATTAACTGAGGTGAGTTTAATTTACATAGTGTACTCTAAATGTATTTATTATTTCAGGTAATCAAGTACAGCTATAAGCACCCCAAATGCTATTACTATTTTAAATGGTTTTTAGTGATTTGCTTACAATGACAAAAGTACTGTATGACACAACTTCTGTATACAGTAATATTAAATTAATCAGCATATTATTGAAAAGTGTCATTTTTTCAAGTAACTGATTTCACTATGTGAAAAAAATATAAATAAATGAATGAATGACCTTATCTTGTGTTGAATATAATGTATTGTTTCCAGCTAATGAAAGCACAACATTTATGATTAGAATATATTGGCCTAATTAAAAAAGAAGCCAAATATTTTCTTAAAGATAATTTTATGAAGGTGCTGACTCTTTGTATATATATATATATATATATATATATATATATATATATATTTTTTTTTGTATGTTTTATGTTTTTATAATTAAGAAATTCAAACTTTAATTTTTTTGTTTTGTTTTTCTTTATGCCTCTTATTACTTTTTTATATTCCTGTTACCGGTAAGTTTTACTTACAGTATATGTGCGTAAACCACAGGCAATTTTGTGGTTTCCTGGGCAGTAAAGAAAATGTTCAGTTCTGTTTGATTTTACCTTTACTCTGACCATTTGTATTTCAGAAACATTATGCACAATGATTAGCCATATTTACACTATATACAGTATGTACATGATTTCAGCCCATGCATATTTGATGACTGATGTTTTGTATCTTTTTCCTAGTCCAAGGCGAGCTGCACAACATTGCCTCTACACACATCAGCCTTTTTGTAGATACACATAAAAAAGTCCCCTGGTATTTATGTTCCCCTATCACTAAACAAAAATAAATAAATAAATATTCATTCCGGTCATGAAAATCCTTCAGGCTAAAGTAAATTCTTAGTTCCTCTCATTCTCATTCACTGACAGAATTTGCACATCAGTATTATCTATGTGAATATTTTACCTCATTTAATCAGAAATCAAACGATAAGGAAATGGGGAAAAAGTTTAACTGCATCTTTTCCTAAGTTAAAAAAAAAACAGCCATATTGGATTTTTGCATCCACTTTCATAAGAAATCTTTAAATTTTCGATTTGTATTTCAGACTGCAGGGCATCTTGTTAAAAGTTTACATTTTAACTTTTGATTTTACCGTTTGTGACTTCTATTGCGGCAATTCAAAATATGTTATCTCAAGGCAATTTAATTTTCATACAGTCAAACTGGTTAAAAGTTTCTTTATTCATGAATATCTTTTATGTTAGAAAAGACTAGGCGACTCTCTATAGGAGAGAAACAGATAAGGAGCTGCACTATGAGCCAGTTTTATGTCAAAAGTAAGAGAGCCCAACAGTTTGCCACAGTAAAAGCTAAGCCCCTGGCTATTTCTTGGAGAGAAACAGGACTAAACACTGAAAAACAGGTCCAACGCTATCATCAATGTATAACTGAAGCTGTAGATGGTGGAGGCTCATCTTATGACTCCCTCCGCAAAGGTGTTACAGCCATGACAAGGAAAAGCAGAGCGAATATCACGTTATTGGTTGAACTAGTACAACAAAGCAGAATGATAAAAAGTGGTCCCTATGTCCTTCAGCATCCTAAGCCTATAACTAAGCTGCTAACTAAAAGATCTGCCTCCCATTGTAGTTGTAGAAATTCTAGAAACCACTAATAAACCTGCAGACTGAGACCAAAGTGCTGTGTTCACAATAAATCAACTTCATATTTGGATGTGCGCTACAGAACTGGAAAAAAAATGTCAGAGGTCTTTCATGTTGTAGTGCTTTAAAAAATTTTTATTGTCATTCTGATTTTTAGGGGGAGCGTTCCCACAGTTTCAAAGGCATCTCCTCTGAAGATGCAATGCAAGGCAGGACAGCTACACAGACCGGGGGAAGTGGCAGTCTCATTCGTTCAAGCAGAGGACTTCGTTTGGGTCTTGGAGCCGTTACCAGGACAACTGCAGGTTCAATCAAAGCCCGAGGACCCAGCCCAGGACAGAGGTCGACACCAGGCTTCAGCCAACCGATCCAAACTGTCAGCCCAGCAATCAATCACAAAAACCAAGACAACACAGGTAAATAAGAATCTATAGCACATTTTATCTTCTAGAAGGTCAACTGGAGATGCTAGTTTTGTCTTCCTGCTGCCATGAAACAATAAGCAGTGAGACCCATCCATCCCTCAGCTTCGCTCAAAATGAAAGAGGTTTATTAAAATGCATTCTTTCTGAGAATAATTATGGCAGACTTGATTGGACGGTTGTGGGAGGAGACTCATTCTGCACCAGAAGGCAGCAATCTACAAACTTAAGTTTAACAAAAACTAAATAGATAATAACCCACACACATATTCTCTTCAATGAATTTCTAATTTCGATGATACAAATAGCTCTTCTGATTGCTTAAATATGATTTCTGCTTCAGTCAATCTGTCTATGTAATATTACAGTAAGACATTTTGCCATTATCCTCCTGGAAAGAAGATTCATACGTCACTAACATACGCTATTGCATTTGTATTTTCCTTTTTTGTGATAGCTAAAACTAACCAAACAAGTGTAATACTCAGTAGCCATGTATACACATGGCAATAAAACTGCATCTAAAGAACTGATTTGGATGTTTTTATAATTTTTCTTTTAAGATTTCTTACTAATTCACAACCAAAGAATTCTCTTTCTTTTTATTTTCTAGAATTTATCCACTAAAATTATCTTTACTTTGTTCTCACTAGATCAGGGAACACTCACTGAAATTTGGTACATTTGTTATTTTACTTTGCCATAATAAAACCAAAAACCTCAATTGTTTCACTGGGAGTTGAAGTGACAAAATCAATTGAAGATGTACGTAATTGTAGAGTAAAGGGAAAAATAAATAATTATTCTCATTTAAAATAATTGTGAAATGTGTGACATGCATTATAATTCAGCTCCCCTAAATTATTCTATTTAAGACTCCTCTTTGTTGCAGCTTCAGCTCCTATTACTTTGGGGATTAGAGGATTATAATTGTTCAACATTTAAATCAAAATGTAAGATACTAACACATTATAACAGTTATAATACATTACTTTGTGGCCGTTGTGACACAGAGTTACGTTGAAAATTCTGCATTTTTGCGATTGTAAGCATACTTACCAGGCAAGGCAGTGATACACACTGAACCATTACAGAATGTAAATTCACTTATGCATGTTTCTTCATTCTTTCTTGCAGCAGTGATGCTTGGACTGTGTTGCAGGAATCACCTTTAATAACATACAGCTTAAAGCCTAGATGCGGAAATCTATACACACTGGACTTACTTTGAACTGTGATTGAAATCATTTGGGCTTATACCAGCTGCATGTCCTATTGATTGTTCCTGTCCTAATTTACATAACACATACAAAGAGAAAATGGCCTTGTTTCACTCAAAGAGTAACATACAAAAGATTTATTCAAAGAAATATATGGCATATTAAGCATTTTAACCGTTTACTGAATGGTAAGACGAATTGTATGCACATTTTATTAAAGATAAAGGATATCCATGCAAATTAACAAAAAAAAAAATCAGCACCATAGGCTGTGCTGATTTCTATATCTCAGGGATAAGTGATGTTTGTTAAACTAATTTCTAATTTCTCCTCCTTGTGTCTCAGAGGTGTTGAATAGGATAAGATGTGGGGGTGGGAAGGCTACAATGGAAATTAGGACATTTATCCCTAATGATCCTGACATTCTCATTCAAGAAGGGGAAGCTCCAAACTCATAAGCAGACTTCCTGACAAACAGGCAGACAGGGTGGAGGAAATATAAGATAAGCATGAGCTTCATCTCTAATGATACTGGAAGGGGTGGACTTTTCCACTTTGATTTTATTCCACTTTTTCCTCTCTCTACCATCAGGCGTCTGTTCCTTCCCTGGAAACATGTTTTTTCTCCTGATGCAGCAGTAATCCTCTACCTTCCACTGAGGTGCACAGCTGTGCCAAATGGAAAGGAAAGGAAAAAGAAAGCAGGGTCATCTACCTTATCTCTGCAGCCAGCAGGGGATAATGCTTTTCTTCTGTGCAGGATCTTGACCTCATATATGCAGGCTTAGGAAGCCAAGATGGGGATTTTTTTCCAAAGATTTTAGATTTTCCCCAGGGAATTCCATTTGTCTCTGTGTGAAGCCTTAATTGTCCATGTCGATACATCTTAAGTTTTATCTTGCTGTTGAGAATAATAGCTGCCAAAAAAAAAAAAAGATTCCAAACCATTGTTTTCTGACAAAAGCATTCTTACTGTTCCTCAAATTTGCTAGATTATTTTCAGTTTTCAGTTATTTATGTAATTCTATTTTGTTGGTCATTGGTTTCTTTTCAATTTTGTGTTAATATTTAAGCTGTGTCGCATTTTTTGAGTTACTCTCTGTATTCCCTCCTTTGCCAGTCTCCTTTACCCTAGCTCCCTTCAAGTTACTTGTATCCACACCTTCTCCAAATCAGCTGATAAGGCTATTCTTTGTTCTATCCCCCATATATATTCTTCCTCTTCAGTTTCCCCCTGATGTGTTCTGTATTTTGGCGTGTGTATTTCTTTCTGTTGCCTTTTTCATTAAATCAGCATCAATAATCTCTGTCTCCTCATCTCTGCAATTGAGTCCTTGTCACATCTTGGTTGTGGTTTAGAGGACCAAAATGCAGAGGCTAAGGTGATTTCTTGTAGTTTTAATGATGAAAGCAGTTAACAAAGGCAGGAATCCAAATAAAAATGTAACACATACCAGAACCATGGAGACATCAGGGAGCTAGGGAGAGACGAGGTGAGCAGACAACAGCGACAACAAGAACCAGCAGCAACAAGGAACCAACAAGGAGTGACAGCAGAGGGAGAGTATATGTTGCTGACTGAGACAATGGCAGGGCTAACGAGCTAACAAGGAGCAGGTGTGAGAGGAGAAAAACGAGGGAGCCAAGGGGAAAGGAACGCACACAAGAGGGCAACAGAGGAAAACAACAGAAAAACCTGAGAACTAACATAAATACAGAAACTGAGAAAATAAGAATTAGACCAATAAAACTAGGAAACATGGAGCAAAGTAAAGAACAACAGAAACAAAACCATGACAGTCCTCAACTGGAGGGGGGGGGGGGGGGGGGGGGGGGGGGGGGGGTAATCTCTGGGAGGAGGCAGAAAGTGTCCAGAGAGAATCCAGGAATGAACAGGGAGAACACACAAACTACCCACTGCCCCACTGTAAGCTATATTACATACAGATGGGCAGAAAACACCAAATTAGGGACCTGCAGCTATAAGTGCAGTGATTGGTGATCTTATTATGTATCAACTCTCCAGTGATGAAAATGAATGTCACACACTTCAAAATATTTGTGAAAAACATTGAGATGTTTGCACAACTCTCAATTTCACAGTTATAAGTATTTCATGTTGATCTAGTGATTAAATATTAACGTTTGATCTTGTATTTGTAAAATCTTAAGGTGACTGGATACTTTTTAAAAGAACCTTATCAGAAAAAGAAATTTGCCTGACAGTCTTTTGTGAGAGCCATTTTGAATGCCATAATTGATTTAGAGGAACCATCGGAAACTAGCCCAGTCTGTAAACACATGCAGAGCCAAACAAAACTATTTACTGGTTAATTATGCATAGTTACATGTTTACTTGCTGCAACAACCAGTCTCACCACAAAGACAACTTCCTGCTGTCTACTGGGAGCTTTGTCTACAACTCATCATGAGTAATCCTGCACTAGTGTAACTTAATTAGAACAATAGCTGTCATTCTTATCTAATTTTTACCACTGAATAAAGGCAGTTTTAAAGTGATTAATAAACTATTCAATTTTAATTTTCTTTTTCTTTGCTAGATGACCAGGTTATAAGCCACCAAGCTCCTGCTGTTCCTCCTGCTGCCACAACAACATCCCAGCCCCCATCCACAGCCTCCAGATCTCCGCTTTCCAAATTCAGTCAGTCAGGGTTGCGGCCTCCAGGTTTCTCCTCCAACCGTCTCCCAGCAGGTCGCCTGGCAGCCTTTGGTTTTGTCAGGAGCTCCAGCGTCTCCTCAGCCTCCTCAGCCCATTCCGCTGACAGTGCGCAGAGTGATCCCTGTAGGACAGCTCATGGTGAGTTGACTCTAAACAAAATGATGACACTATTTTACCAATTGTGAAATTGTATTCTGTCTTTAGTTTTTTTTAGTTTTGCTCCACTTTGACCAGATTTTGAAAAGTTTCCATTTAATCTTTATAGAATATTCTTTGTAGAATTAAGGGGTAAGGAGCCACATATCAGAACACTATAAGTTCTTGCTTTGCTATTAAACATTGGGGTTAGTTTGAAAAACAGATTGATTCTAAGGGTACTACACAAACTGTTTCAGTTAAAAAGAATGATAGTAATCTAAGGTTAAGAGTTTAACATGAATCACAAACCTTCCCTGCCAAGTAAATCTCTTTAACTCTTGTATTAAACAGGACATAAGTGGATAACATCACTCTCACAACTCTTTACTAATTTAGACGGCTCCTGACTAGGTCTTTTTCTTAGATCGTATCACTACTTGAAAAGACAAGAATATATCATATGTGCTATTTGGTGAACTCTGTAAATTGTCTCAATTTGCATTCATAGTGTGAATCTCTGATATTTTCCAGTTGTGATTCTAGGGCTGCTTGGTTACTTGGCTGAGTATTGAGGTAGCAACATGTCTATTTAATGTGACCTACATAGGAAGGCTTGCTCCTCTCCTCCCAGTTACAGCTGACGTAAGCTCCTGCGTTCTTTCCTCACGCACATCAGGCCCCCTGTTATGTCATCCTTGTTTCCCTCCCTTTGAATTATATTTTTTTTCATGTTTTTCTCTAATTTGTTTATAACGAGTTCATACTGTTGTTATGTTTATGAGGCATTGCCTCAGGTACAGTAAATCTAAGCGTAAGAATTTGCATACAAGTTTCTTTTACAGCAAGAAGTAGAACCAATGCTGAAAAATCTGTGTTCAAAATGTAAAATCATAAAAAAATCAGATTCGTCTGAAGTCCTAAATATTAAGAATATTAGAAACAAAGCAGAGAGACAAATACATTAATAGATAAACTTGCAAGACAAGGCAAGTTTATCTATATAGCACATTTCAACAAGAAATGTGCTATATAGATAAACTTGCCTTGCAGTGCCATAAATGCATATAAAAAAAGAAAGAATGGGGAAGAACTTAACTAATAAAGTTAAAATGACAATTTCAAGGGCAACTCTAAACAAATACATTATAAATGGGATTTCAGCAATTTAACAGTTTTCTTGGAATTTATTCCAGATAAGTAGAGAATAAGAACTAAAGGGTGCTTATCCATGTTTGGTTCTGGGTCAGGTTGTAAGAGGTCTGGGTTTTTGATAAACTGTCAACAAGGTTGTTATGTGCTAAGCAGTTCAATGATTAATAAACTAACAGAAGTAACTTAAAGTCTGTTAAAAGGTTTTAAATCTGGGTCAATGTGATGTGCTCCGATTGTTTCGTTTTAGTGAGGATGTGGGCGACAGCATTCTGGATCAATTGCAGGTGTCTGATCAACTGTGCAATATATTTTCAACACTCTTCCTTTTATCAAAAAACACATCAGTTTTGTTTTGGTTTAGCGGTAGAAATCTTTGAATGGGCCTATAGTCATATGCTGACATGACACCATAATGTATAGCCGCATATCTGCTGCATAGCTATTGTAAGTTATGTTATTGTTTATAAAGATTTGATTTAGGTGGAGCAGCAGAAATTGAATTGGAGGGACCCTAAGATGGCCCTGTATGAAACATCACATGTCAGTGGACTCTGATGTAAAGTCTCTTACTGACACAAAAAAAGGGAATTTCCTTCCAGCAGGATTTAAACCGGTAGCATATAAAAACTTTACTTGACATCATTGGTACTGGATGTATGGATGTAAGGATGTACAGATTAACCGTCTATTATTTTGGATTGGAAAGTGGTGAGTTCTTCAATAAGATTCTGTTAAAAATTCTAAGAACCATGAAATAAGAAATGCATACAAAAACATCACCATTATATTTTTTTTTTGAATTATTGTTTTATTTCTATTTTTTCCAGCCTGTTAGATATAGTCGAGGCCTGTTTTAGTAACAAAATACTAGTATAATCTTCCACTTATTTTTTTTATGCATTTTAGAAAAGCTGTTACCCAACCCTTTATCAAAGGTATCTGGAGGATAACACTCTCTATGATCTTAACCCTTCAGTAGAAATACAGATACCATCTGGTATCTGAGAGGGATTTCTTCTTTCTTTTGTTTTATCATAGAGCAAATCGACAGCCAGTTTTAAAGTAGAGCAAACTATATTAAAATATGGTGTCATCCGATAGAGGTGCACCTCTGCAGTAGACATATTCAAAGATACACATATAACCAAAAAGTCCTAGCAATGAACCATACTTCTCAGAGAATTTACTGTTGGTTTGCATGCAAAAACAGATTTGTTCTCTCTGATCCATGTAAACCACAATTATAGTCCCACACAAAATTCTCAATCTACCACATTCAATTCACTTTAATTCAGTTTATTTATATAGCGCCAACTTTGAACACGCCATCTCCAGGTAATTTACAAAGACAATACAATTAGATTGGTTAAAGTTTCTGTAGAGGAAAACAAGTTGATTACATCAACTCATGGATGAGCATTATCATTAGGGACGTGCAATTAATGCTCAAAAGATTTTAGAAATCATGGGAAGGAAATACACATTCATATAAGCTTTGCTTCAATGGATATTTTAATTTATTTTCAGTTAAAACTGGCAGGTTTATCTAATTCTTTAGATGAGTGCTCTCTACTGAACTCTGAAGAAAATGTATTTTGTTTAATTTTAGAGACAAATGAAACAATTGTTAAAAAAGGTTTAATTTTAAATGGTGGGATTATTACAGAGTGTGGGAAGCTGTAATCCATAAACCAATTGTTTAGATTTATCATTTCACATGTAAGCCTGCAAACATACACCCAGGAGGTCCTAAAGGCAACATCTGCACCAGTCTTCCTAATTTGCAATGAACTGGAGAAGCTCAGAGGAACATAAAAGGAGATCTAAGATGATAGCTATGAAAGGTAAAAGCGGTAATCCTTTGATGACAATATGGGTTGGTTTGCTTTGTATTTGAATTTGGTGTTTTTTGTGGCCTTTGTTTGAAAGGTGTTTGAACTCTTTTCTCAATTTGGATGAAAGTGAACCAGACTAGTTATTTTAATCCCCCTGTGTTAAACAAATTGGTGCCTGGATACTTTTTGTGTGCATAGGGAAAAGCCAATGTCTTTTTTGTGGCATAGACTGAACCTTTTTTACATTTATTTGATTGGGAAGACCTAAAGGAGACACAAAGGTTTATCTGTCATTGATCTGACTTTTTTTTTATGTGAAACACCAGGTAAGGCCATAAAGTTGGTTTAACAGTAAGCTGGATGAAATGTAGTATGAGCGTCAGTTAAACAAGAGACCTTAGAGATTATCTTCTCTATCAAAGATCTGCTGCTTCAGGTAGATTCAGCCATGATATTTTTCCTCTCCTTGGCTACAGAATAGCATCCATATCTAATTGGCACATCTAATTTGCTGCTCTATGGGTGTGAACTTGTGCGCATGTGTGCATGCATGCTTGTGTGGGTGCATGCATCACAGAAACCATCTGTTCGACGTGAGCTGGCAAGAGATTCAGATCTGAGCCTTGCGTGGCATCTGGGGTTTGACATCCTCTTTGCCATCTACTCTGATGCTTCTTTTTCTGCTCTTTTTTCCTGCTTATATCCCATTTCACTTCCTCTCTGTTTGCTGTTCATTTTGAATCAGAGAATTGATGTTTATGGTTGCATGGTTCTTCAGTTTTATCCTGTGCTCATTGGATTAATATGATTTCTCGAATTATTAGATTTTTTGGCCTAAAAAATGTATAATGCTTTGTTTTGCTTAGTAATCAGATTTCGCCATAGAGCTAAGACAGCTGAAGAGATGCCACACCAGTATCCTCCTTTTGCATTTGGCTCTCATCTCTTTAAATTGATCAGAGTGAATAACATGAACCATGATGCAATATATGAAAACCATCATCACCTGAGAAGGCATAGTGACAACACTTAAACCTGGATTTAGTCAATGCTTTATCGATTTGAAACAAACAAATCTAAATCTCCCAAGATGCCTGACTACTTCACTCTTACTTATCAATTAAGGCCACCTATGACACCTCTGAATCCATATAAATCTGTTCCAATATGTTTTGGGTTAAAAAGGTCTATAAATACAGTATATTACATAAGGGTTCACATCAGGATAATTGGGATACTGATATTTAGAATGTAATTATTGTCAAGTGGAAAAGAAAGGATTATTATGATTTTTTCAAACTAATAAAATCTAAAAAGTGAGGCTTGCTTATTTAATTAGCTCCCTCTAAGTCTGAAAGCGATGCAGATGTCGCCTCATGGCACACAATCCGGACTGTATGAAACAAATATAAATTGGAACGGAGAAAGGATCTAAACTTGGAGTTAAGAATAGCATTAATCATAGAGACAGCTGAAAAGACATTTGCAGCTATGAAAGAGCTGCAGAGATTTTGAGTTTAGGGTGTTAGAGCTTGTTGACAGATCAAGGATCTGCATTTAAGACTACTGCCTTAAACACAGGCCTAGAAAATTATAACAAACTTATTCATATTTGTTGGAAAATACCTAAATTCAATTAAAAAACTGCAGCAAAGCCTTCAAGCTGATATCTCCAGTTGATTTCCAACAACTGTGGCTGCATCTAAACTTTTCACTCTAAAAGACTTGCATCTATAAGTGAGTCAGGAAGGCTGAAAAAATAACATCCACCCATATTTCAACCTGAAAAACTGCCACAGAGAGAAAGTGTCATGGTTTTGGTTATATTGTGCTTTACTTTGCTCTTTGTTCCCTAGTTTTATTGGTTTAATTCCTTTTTTGTTATTTCTAGATTTGTTAGTTCTCATGTTTTTCTGTTGTCCTCTGTAGCCCTCTTGTGTATTCCTTTCCCCTTGGCTCCCTCGTTGTCTCCTCTCACACCTGCTCTTTGTCAGCTCGTTAGCCCTCCCTTTG